AAAGAAAGAAAGAAAGAAAGAAAGAAAGAAAGAAAGAAAGAAAGAAAGGAAGGAAGGAAGAAAGAAAGAAAGAAAAAAACCCTGTAGTTCTCTATGTGCAGGGCTCCATCCTCGTCCTCTGGCCTGCTGTGGGCCAGTCTTCCAGAGACCTGGCAACGCTGTGCCACGTCACACAGAGACAGGGTCACTATGTAGCCCGGCTGGTCAGGAACTCAATACATAAACCAGGCTAGCCTCGAACTCCCAGAAATCCTGCTTCCCAAGTGCTGGGATTAGAGGCATGTGCCACCCTGTCTGACCCTTCTTTGTGTGTGTTTGGTAGGGGTGAGGGTGCTGGAATCGAACTCAGGGCCCTGTACAAGCTGGTCGTGTGCTTTGTCATGAAACTACTTCCCGGTCCGTATCTGTCTTCTTTACAGATTCCCCAATTCGCACAATCTAACGTGGATGTAGTGAATCTGACTTTTTTTTTTTTTTCTGGGACAGGGTTTCTCTATGTTGAGTCTGACTCTTTAAAGGAGTGTAATACTGACCAGCGGTGGTGGCTCACACACTCGGGAGGCAGAGGCCAGCCTGGTCTACAGTGCCAGCTCTAGGACAGGCTCCAAAACTGCAGAGAAACTCTGTCTCGAAAAACAAAACAAAACAAAAGTGTACTATTTGTTTATTTTATGTGTGTGAGTGACTCAGAAGCATGTAATGCCCAACAGGCTAGAAGGAGACAGAGCCCCTGGAACTGAAGTTACAGACAGTTGTCCCACTGTGTGCCCACCACTGTGTGTGTGCTGAGACTTGAACCCAGGTCCTCTGCAAGAGCTGAGCCATCACTCCAGCCCCAAATTCATCCTTCGATATCTTGCAATTTAGTGGGTCCTGTGCACTCACAGGGTGGTAGCAGAAGACGCCAGCATCTGAATCTCGGATATCTCAATCACTTTGAAGAGAACCTACAGACTCTGACAGTAGTCCCGGCCTCTTCCCAAAACCGCGGGGAACCAGAAATCCAGGGCTTGCGTTTCTCGGCGGCGGAGCTCTTTTTTTGGAACATTTCGTAGATAACAAATTGTATGATGTGACCGTTGGTGTCCTGCTCCTTCCACTAAATGTTACATTTTCAAGCTTCGTCCACTCAGTCTCCGAGTCTAGGAGCTGGTGGTGTGTAGGAAGACTGGAAAGTGGGAGCAGAGAGACAGACCATGAGAGTGAGTAGTAAGACCACCACCTGCCCCCTGGTGGTGGATTTGGGTATTGCAGCTGTCAGAGCTGCGTTCCGGACCGCTTTGGGCGGCGGCGGAGGGGGGGGCGCTCCACCCTGGGGGACTACATTCTACCTTGAACAGTCTTGGTGTCACAAGGCTCCTAGGATTTCTCTGTGTAGCCCTGGTTGTCCTTGAACTTACTCTGTAGACCAGGTTGGCCTCCAGTTCACAGAGATCCACCTATCTCCACCTCTCGAGTGCTGGGATTAAAGGCATGGTCATATTATATTGCCCAGGCTACCCTGGAATTCTTTGTGTAGACCAGGCTGGCCTTGAATTCACAGAATCCCTCCTACCTCAGTCTCCCAAGGGCTGGGATGCGGGCGTGTGCTACAACTGACTTGAAGCATTTTATTTTATATATGCAGTTTGGTTTGTAGTGACACCTTGGCTGCATTATCACTGAGGAAAAAAGAAATCATTGCAGCTAAGAGACCAGAGTCTTGAGTTCAAATTCTAGCACTTGGGAGGCTGAGGCGGGAGGACTAAAAATTGGATGAGGGTTTGTGCTACATGGTGAGATCATGCACAAAAAGAAAAGTGTTTGTCTTACATATATACTTTCAGAATTTGGGAGGCTGAGATGAGAGATGGCCAGAAGTTCAAGGTCAGCCTGGGCTTTGGAATGGGACCCTGCCTCAAAAAACCAAAACAAAACAAAACAAAAAAACCCAAACAACACTTACCTGCCAGGGGAGTTAGTGTGAATGGCAAGGTGGATTTCATTTCTCAGGTGAGGTTTGTCTGGATATGCTGACCCCTCAATTTCCCCAGAGTGGGAGTTGACTGCATAATTTGTGGTAGTGGAGGCTGTGTTCTAACTCTCCCCTGTCCAAACAAAATCAAACCAACATTCCCAGCACTATAACTGGGTGTGATGGCTCACCCCTTCCTGAGGTGAACCTCAGCCTCAGCACTCCCTGAGGTGGAGGCAGGAGGATCAAGACCAACCTCAGCCACCCAAGAACTTCCAGGCAGCCTGGGTTATGAGACCCAGTCTCAAAATACATAAATGCATAGGGCTGGAGGGCTGGCTCAGAGTGAAGGCGCTTGCATTTAAGGCTGACAACTTAAGTTTCGTCCTGGGGACCCAGAGAGTGGGCTTCCCAAAGTTGTCCTCTGACCTCCACATGTACACCCCCCAAAATTAATAAATTATTCTACTGTAATAAAAAATAATCTCCACCCTGCCACTCACTGTTGCTTTGGGCCTTTTCTTTTGCTTTCTTTTCTACCTTATGTATTTATTCTGTGTTGGGTGTTCTGCCTGCGTGTAAGTATGTGCATCATGTGTGTACAGTACCTGTAGAGGCCAGAAGAGGGCATCAGGTTCCCTGTGACTGGAGTTACAAACAGTCATGAGCTGCCATGTGGGTGCTGGGAACTGAACCCAGGTCCTCTGCAAGAGCAGCGGTGCTCTTAACTGCTGAGTCAACTCTCCAGTTCCCCAACTTGAATATTAATATAATTCACTTACTTGCATAATTTAATTTTTTAGTAATGTTTATGCTTAACAGATAGTTCCGTAATAATTTCCAGTGGGTTAGCTCTAGCACTTCTGTCTCTTTCCCCCTCATTCTGTCTGACAGGACCTCACATAGCTGAGGCTAGTCCCAAACTCTCTGTATAGTTGAAAGGATGTCCTGGAACTTCTGAACCTTCTAGGACACCACCATGCTTGGCAACATTTAATTTTCACAAAAGGAAACTGAGGCTTGGGAAGGCTTTCAAAGACAGTGGGGCAGAGACCTTCCCCCAGCAGCACCTGGCTCTAGACCAGGATTATGTCACTCCTCCTTCCCTTCAGCCCACAATGCACGTGCCCTCAGCACAGCTCTCACGGTCTCTGTCTCCGATCTGTTTGCCCCGGCAGGTCTACACCTGTTTGGGCTTCCAGCCAGGGAGGAAAACGAGGCTCCCGCCCCCTTAATGTGCTGCCTGTCATCCTCAGGGTGGAGTCACTGGACTTCTTACTCCTGGTTTGAAGCTCAGGATGACTTTTTTCCCCTTGAGATAGGATCTTGCTGTGTAGCCTAGGCTGGTCTCAAACTCACAGCAGTCTCCCAAATCTTGGGTTGGGATGACAGGCACATAGTCATCAATCACTCCTTTCTCTCTCTTTCTCTCTCTCTCCCTCTTCTCTCTCGTTCTTTATTCCTTTTCTCTGCAGAGTTTCTCTTTGTCTCCTTCGTTTCCTCCCTCCGCCTTGGCGCTCTCTCTCTCTGTCTCTCTCTGAGTCTCTCTCTCTCTCTGTCCCCCTTTCTGCCCTCAGTCCTTTTGTCTCTGTCCTTGGCTTCCCTCTGTTCCTCTCTTTGTGACTCTGTTTCTTCCCACCTCGTGTCTGTCCGTGTGTCCCTGTGTCTCTCCCATCTCTCAACGTCTCCCTCTGCTCTCCTCCTCAGCAGCTCTCTGCCCTTTCTCTTGGCCGTTTACTCCCGGTTCTCCTGTGAGAACTTGCTGGAGAGCGGCGCGCCCAGACCTGCCTCCGCCCCCAGAACCCTCGAGCCAGCCTGGACCTGTACCTTTAAGAGCCGGCAGCGGGGGCGGGGTCTCCGTGGGCCCCGCCCCTCCTGCCCCTCCCCCTGACGTCCCTTCCTCCCCGGCCCCTTGGTCGCCTCCCTCTGCCGCCGCCCCGGGCCGGCTCCG